ACAATAGCTTCAGCGCACGGGGTACAAAAGACTGTGTGTGTGGTTCAAACCTTAGAGTCTGGTCTCAGGGTTGACATTTCGAAGAGGTTATAGACACCAGTGTCTGTTATGTCAATCTTTCTACATATGTGGTAAATCTCAATAAACGTGTAAAAATCAGGTGTGAGTGGTTCAAACCTTGCAGTCTGGTCTCAGGGTTGACATTTCGAAAAGGTGATAGACACCTGTTATGTCAATCCTTCCACAAATGTGGTAAATTTTCGTAAATAAATAAAATTCGAGTGCTGTTAATAGATGCAAAAACATGTAATGGCATATTTTAGTATCTGCAGTGCACCAGTGGCAAAAAAATTTGGGTTGAATTTTGTATTCTTTAAATGGTTTTCTACATAAATTGTAATCGTGCTAATCCATAGAAAGGTTGGATAATATTTGTTTTAAGTGTAGTTAATAGATGCGAAGACATGGGACAGTATATTGCACTATTAGCAGTGCGCGAATGGCCAAAAATTGGGTTGAATTTGTATTCTTTTAATAATTTTCTACAGAAATAAACAAAACAAGCTAACAGTCATTTGTGTTTTAAATTCTCTTCAGTACCTACAAAAATGCGTGATCAACAAAAATTGGAGAAATATTCAATTTGTTGGATGATACAGCTAAAAAAAACGCAGTAGTTTAAAACATACCCTACAGTATGGTACACGCCATAGTAGCTATAGTCTGCATATCCCTACAATATTATGCTTCTTACGTAAATAAAAAGAATCAGCAACACACAGCCTTATACACCTTATAAGACATCCGACACGTGTAAAACCATTTCAAGACGGAACCAAACCTACCTGTTGAATCTTCCATGATCTTAAGACGTTGTTTGTACCTGAAGAATCACACCTGAGTGAAGACACAACCCGTCTGTAGACTGAGTCACCTTTAGCCCATCACTTGCTGACAGGTCGCATGTTTTCCTACGTGAGAGCTCTTCAGAAACAACCGGCGGATGCTGTGACAGCCTAGCCTCGTAAACAGGCTTTTCCGTGGGCGTTTTGTAAGGTTGTTTCGGTCCCAATTATCTGTGGCACTGGTAGTGTCGAGAAGTAGTGGATGCTTCCTAAAACGTCTGACCGTTTCGAAAATCATATCCAGTTACTTGCGTTTCGAAAATCATATCTAGTTGCTTGCCAATGTTTTTTGGTGTATCTTATTACCTGGATGTCTAACCTTCATCGACGTTTCTTAAGGTTGTTTTGGTCCTAATTATCTGTATTGTGTTGTTGGCATAATCGTCTTTCGTTTAGACCACCTGCGCTTCGCATGCGGGCGGCAACAGGCGGTTGTATCATGTGGAATGACCTGTTATACCAAATGCGCCAATTACGCTTTACGTTGAATTAGAGCGGTCCGTCTACGCTCTACCAAGAAGGTTTTAAACCTCCTTGGCTCTGCGAAGGATTAAAATAATCACCAAGCAGATCCCTATCGGTGGCAAAAAGACAGTATCAAATTGGCCAGGCAGTGTCCATTAGCCAGGGAAGCTCCGCGGCCACCGACGGGTCAGGACAAAAAAGAAAGGCCATATATAAAAAGGTAACGATCATTCCCCCACAACCTCTGCTTGGAGAGTAGGATTAAAACAGCCGATTACGCTCTACGGAGAAGGGCATGCGGGCCCCCAGTTAGATGTCCCTAGTGTAGAGCCTGCTGTGTAGGCTACCAGCGTGCCCGATAATTGCTTTCGTCACGTCTCCATGGGAACGCGGCTGCGGCAGTCAGCTCTATAAAGGGCTTGTGTTGCGGAGGCGGCAGGACGCACCGCTCATTAGTGCGGTGAAAAGGGAGAAGAGATGAAAAGCGAATAATTATGTCCAGCGGCTGCGGGCTGGTACAAACGGTTAACCGTACGTAAGCCTCATCTCCAAGCAGATCTTTTGGTGGCCGCAATGCAGTATCATATTAGCAAGACAGAATAACATGTGGCAGGTCAGGAACCTTTTGGAACCTGTTTGACCGGCCTAAGAAATATACCAGAACAAAAAGAAAGCCTAAAAGCTTGTCAAGAAATAAACCCAAGCCTACACCTCTTTGAGCTATCTGCCAAATAGATAGAAAAAGGTGCAAACGATGAGAGGAGCTGGATCATATACAGAGGTGTTTGCCACAGTTTGTGTTGGGATTGCTACAAGGCGCGCCACAAGGCCATCTGAAAGCCAAGGATAAACCCCATTTTTTAAAAGGATGTTTGCACATGGTTTTTGGTAGATTCTATAAAAGCATGGCCCGTAAAGCACCGGGATAAGCCGAATAAACAGGTTAACCTTTCCTTAAACCAACCAAAGGAAAATTATGTAAGTAGCTTCTATAGTGCGTTACATGTGTGTATGTATGTACGTATGTATCTATATATGTACTGTATGTATGTATGGATGTATGTATGAATTTATGTATGAATGTATGCATGTATGTATGTATGGATGGATGGATGGATGGATGGATGGATGGATGGATGGATGGATGGATGGATGTTTAAAAAATGAGAAAAAAAACTAAGGATATTTATACACGCTACCTCCATGCCAAATTTCAGGTTATTTGGCTGCAAAATGGGAGAGTTGAATCCCGTTTAAGAAATGGCAGGAGGGGAAGGAGGAGAAGGAGAAACATGAGAGAAAGCAATATGTCTTCACTACACCATGCACAGTGTGGTTAAAGCCATAAAAACTGTGCCTGTGGCATGTGTTCCTCGAACTCTAGTTTTATCCTATCCCAAAAA